AGAGAGAGAGAGTAGAGAGAGAGAGAGAGAGAGAGATGGTCTTGGAATAAAAATTCGGATCGATTCGATCCTCCTTTATTTTTTATTATACATTTTCGATACAACTTCTAACTTAAATTATCAGTTTGATGAATATTTCGTGCAAGCGAAATTAATCAAAAAATCCACTAATCTTAAATTCAATTAAATTTTAATTGTTTTTACAAACATTAGAAAATATCAGATTTCACGCGTACTCGAATTACAATTTGTAATTTCAATTTCAAATATAATCGTTCGCTCTAATTGCGAGTATATCTTGTAATGTCTCTCTCTTTTTTTTTTTACTCGTTAAACGTGGAAAGTACATTCATCTTCCACTTGACCCATGAATCATAAACCAAACGAGGCTTTAACATCTCTATCAAGATAGAGAATCGATTCCGAATGGAATTTTGTTGGAAAATCTCGATGACATCAATTCACGATCAATCTATCCCGTCATCCCCATTGTGCCTCGACCCCACCCGTCACAGGTCGTCACAGAGAGCGAATACTACCCCGGATTGACTGAAGCGAAATGGTATAGGTATAATTCACTCGAGTTCACTCGTGGAGTCAAGGGGTGGGTGCATGAAGGGAATTGAAGGGTTCGAAGGTTACGACAGATCGTGTCGTCATAAATGAAGTGCGAGGGCTAGGGTAGGTCAGTAATGATCAACGTTTCGAGTACCGTGACTTCTAATTGGTTACGTTGGATGACGTAATTACTGACTTTGCACCTACTGACGATGGGATTGCTCGTTGACCCACCCTCCAAACAATGCGCACTCGATTTTCCTAAATGAGACACTAATTTGTTTATTAATTTCCTCAATTAAGTCTACGCATTGAGGAAAAGTCGAATCCCGAGAATATCAATGATTAAAATAATAAACATTCCCCCTTCCTTCTTCTCCGTGTCAGCGTACATGTATCATTGAAATGAGAACTTGCGATATTATTTTGTCGTTTAGAAACAAAGAAATGGAAATATCTTATGTGATATTTCATAACACCATGATTTCTTCAACAGATTATTTATTAAATTCGAAGGCAATTTTGTCTTGATAATGATAATGATAATGATAATGATAACAGAGTAGAAATATAAACGGTCTTTGAACTGTACGATTCTTTAAATGTGAATAAATAATAAAGACGTTCTCGACATATTTCAAATTGACTTTTAACAAGACGTTGAAAAATATTTTTTTTCTGCGGTTGGAAATATAAAAGTCACGAAAATAGATGACGCTCGATTACATATTTAGAAGACAAAATCGCTTCGAGAATTGTACAAAACCGTTACTAAAACCAACTGTTCCAGTTTTCGAACATTCTGTCAGAGAATATTGGTTATTCGATTAACTCGCTTAAACAAGTTGCTCCCTTCGAGAATCATTATACTACTGTGTACATGTACACTCTATGTGGAAATGCGTACACGCGGGGTCATTAATACTTTAACAGGATTTATGCACCTTTATCAAGATAGTGTGCATGCATTTCACATATACGCTCGACAAACGCCTAAAGTTACATGTAGAATTAACAATCCGAATGTATATGTATGTATGTTTGATGTATGTATGTATGTATATATATATATATATATATATATATATATATATATATATATATATATATAATATGATATTTTTATTTTGATCAATGTGGATTAACATCAATCTCTGGTTTAATTTGATTTCTTTTTTTCTTTCTTCAGTTCTAAGAATTAAGAAAAGATAAAGAATAAATTAAAATTAATTTCTACACATTCGCAAAACATGAACATTGAATGGTTATTGAATTAAAATTTCATTTTGTAAAATCGTGCACGTATTTCAAGAAAAAGTTATTATTTTATTTAATAAATAAATTTTAAGCGATATAAAAAATTAAATCTTGCGCAAAAAACTTTTGGATATAGAGATAAATAACCGTTTATCGTGTTTTCAACGAATTGTATAACGAAGAAGTAGATACGGGGATGTCCGATTAATTTCTTTTCAAGGAAAAATCCGAATTGATCAAGGGATTCGCGGGAACGAAGAAATTAAGTGGGCGGCAGTTGACTCATTCGTAGATATGTATAATATCGCCATTCTCATTCAATAACCTAGTTTACGATGTCGCAGACGCGCTAACAAGAAGACGTTGACTCGCCTCGTTAAATCTTGTATAACCCGAAATTTCGTTCTCGGAAATATCTTGAGGCATACGCCGGCGACGCCGCGACGCCGAGCGTCACGCGCGCGGAGGACACGGTACATGTTAAAGTAATTCGCCCCCGAGAGGGCGGGAAAGAGGAGGAGAGGGATATAGAGGGTATGACGGAGGCGTCGGTGCCGCCGCGCGCGAAAAGGGATGATTTTTGTATGGTTAATCGACGTCGACGTCGAAGGAAGTGGGCATCGGGACGCGCATCGGGGGCCCTCCGGATAAATGTGTACGTGTGGATATTATGTGTGTATGTGTATGCGGCATAGTGCGCGCGCGGTACCGTCGGCGATGTCGTCGTGGATATCTTTACTTATTGATTGCTCCATGGAAATTGGCCGGCGCCGCCTGCGTCGCATCGGTCGATCGTCGAGGGTTGCAGGCTGACGTCACCCGGTTCGCCTCCGCGGGCTATTGATTTTCTCCCCCGCCATACGCGACGCGCGATTGGTCCATAAACCGAGAAAGCGGCCAGACACGGCCCTGGACCACCGTGGTGTTGTCGATCGACGCGCGCACCCCGCCACCCCTGTGCGCACGCGCCGTGTACTTTACGTACGTATATTTACAAGTGTGTACGTGTGCCCGAAGGGTACACGTGCGCACATGTGAATGCGCGTATGTGCCACGTTGATTTCAATTCAACTACCCTCTTGGTCACTTCTGGTGTCCAACATCGGTATCACAATACCACCCAGTGGCTTCCTGATAGGAAGAACCAGGTGAAGAAGGCGCATTCCGGAGGCGCGCGACTCGCGCGTTCACCCTTGCTCGCATTCACCCTCGCTCATCTGTCCGACAGCCGATTAACCCTCGCGGCCCTCGCGGCCGCATCTCCTTCGCCAGCCTCGACCGAATTGTGCACATCGATGATACCATATGTCACTAACTTCCGTATGCCCCCGCGCGCGCGCATACCCACACATACACATACACAGACGACCTCCAAAGAATTCCTTCATTTCACGAAATGAGATCTCTCGCGAGAATACCGCGAGGTGACTTGCGCGAGGACATGATTGAAATTCATGGACAAAGTGATATCGAAGGCCCTACATACCTTCCAAGTTTCATGTAACTTCGGCGAGATCGCATTCTAATTTCACGTTACTTCTCGCTCTCCTTCCGCGCAATATGAATCGATCTTTCTCGAATTTCGTCGCTTCATCGCAGATTGTCGATGAAGAATTTCTGATCGAGAAAGTTCTTGTCGATTGTCAGTCTCGCGTTCGTCTCAATTTTTCTGATTGATCTTCGGAAGTTCGTTCCGGAGAGTTCTCTGTCGTATTTTATGAGAACCACTGTCGCAAATGAGGATTATGATCTAGTAATGAACCGGGACTTTAATCTCGAAAGAGAGAAGCTTGAGCTTTAATTAGGATTGCTGGTGTAATTGATCCCCTCAGGACGGTCATAATTATAAAAAA